ACAACAAACTAAGTCAAACGAGATAACCAAGAAAATTGTTCGTCCGATGCCCGAGTCAAAACTACGGTCATTTGGAGCATGGATTACGACACATGACTGGCACGAAGTTACACAAGCAGACGGATGCCAAACTAAGACTACAGCACTATACAACACGCTGCACCAGAAAATCGATGAACATTTCCCCACCCGGACCGTCAAACTTCACTCTAAAGACAAACCGTGGGTAACCCCCGATATTTAGTCACTGATATGCCGGCGCCAAAGAGCATTCAGCCAAGGCAAGACTAAAAAATGGAAATCTTTAAGGAACAAAACTCAGTCAAAAATCAAGAAAGCGAGAATAATCTACTATAGTACTAAAGTAGAAAACCTCAGGAAACAAGACCCTGCAAACTGGCACAAGGAAATAAAAACAATGGCCAACATCGGCAAAGTGAATCCAAAAATCCACATAGATGAAATTCCCTCAAATGACGCCAAAGCCACGGCCGATGCCATCAACGCCACTCTCAGTAAAATAACAAGATCACTCCCTCGTTTGGACATCAACCGTCTACCAGCCTTTCTCCCAGCACCTCAACCGCCCCAAGTCAACGTGTGGGATATGTACCACAAGTTAAGGAACGTACGCACTCGGAAAGCAGCCGGCCCCGACAACATCACCGGGCGGCTCATCAAAGAGTTTGCATTTGAGCTAAGCCAACCGCTCACCTCTATCCTTAACGCATCGTTGAACGAAGGACGCGTCCCCAAGGAATGGCATGAGGCGACGGTCATTCCACTGCCAAAAACCAAACCACCAAAAGTGAGCGAGCTTCGCCCAGTATCGTTAACCTCCCTCTTGGCGAAGGTTTGCGAAAGCTTTATCGCAAAATGGACCATGTCCGACATCATCACAAACATCGACCCACAACAGTTCGGCGGCCTACCCGGAAGATCCACAACACACTGCTTGGTAGATATCCTTCATCACCTTAGTAAGACTTCAGACCAGAGAAGGACAGTTAGCAGCATAGTAATGACAGATTTCGCTAAAGCGTTTGATATGGTGGACCACTCAACAGCTATGCAAAGACTGCTCGAGCTAGGCGGTCGACCATCACTACTTTCGTGGATTTGTGACTTCTTAACCGGGAGAAGACAGCGCGTCCTCTATCAGGGCACTCTGTCAGCGTGGGAAGACCTAACGTGCGGCCTACCCCAAGGCACCGTCCTAGCTCCGATCATATTCGTCGCCATAATCAACTGTGCCACAAAGGACGTACGCGCGAGAGATTGGAAGTTCGTGGACGATCTCACCATCATAGAGTGCAGACTGTTACGCCAAACCTCCCACCTACAAGAGGACCTAGACACACTTGAGCGGTGGTCTTCAGAGAGTTTCATGAAACTCCACCCAGCAAAATGCAAAGTAATGCATGTATGCTTCGCCCGTAACCCTCCACAGTTTTCATCACTGCACATCGACGGTCACACTCTCCAGGAAGTCCACGTTGCGAAACTGTTGGGCGTGTGGCTACAACAAGACCTGAAATGGGACATTCATATTAACTATGTCGTTAAACAGAGCTCCAAGCGACTCTTCCTGTTAAAACAGCTTAAGAAGTTCCACCTACCTCATGCTGACCTCATCACTGTGTATATATGCTACGTCCGACCGATAGTGGAGTATGCCGCACCGGTTTGGAGTTCTTGTCTCACAAAAACCCAGTCAAAACAGCTCGAAGGTATCCAGCGCCGAGCGTGTCGTATAATCCTCGGCAATCAGTACACCTGCTACCTGGAGGCCTGCTCCGAACTGAGTCTACCTACGCTAGAATCCAGGCGGGAAGAACTGTGCACGAAGTTCGGGAGAGGACTGCTGAACTCCCCCCTTTACCGGAACTGGCTACCTCCATACCGTGGGGAAGTCAGCTCACGTCACACCAGAACTTCTACTAATCTGGATACAATTCTCACAAAGACTGAAAGATTCCGCAATAGCTGCATTCCTTACTTGGTGCGACTGCTAAACACATGTAACTAATAGTTCCCTTTTTAATAATTGTTAGTAGCAATTTTAACGTTGTACGTACACGTAGCTTTTATATAATATATGCATTATTACGCTCTAAAATATTTTAAAGAATCGTGTCGCATTTCAACCATTGTATGTGTAATTTCGAAATATTAATGTGTATATCAGTAATTCGTGTCGTCGTGAGTGACCACTTTGTATATTTGTTATTTTGGTCAAGGGTAATTAATTTTTTAACTAATTAGCACATTGTAGTTACAACCAATTCAGGGCCTATGCCCTGCGAGATGTAACATGTGCAAGACGAACAATAAACCAGTATTATTATAAGACTTGTAGTGTTTATCTATTAGGAAACGTATTGTAGTTTATTTTTGAATAATTTAGTTCAAAGTACAGCACAATTAAAAAGATATAAATGAAATTTAAACAGAAAATACTAAACATCATGTTTGACACCCCCACTGAAAGTGGTAGTGTTCCAATGTCACGAGATCACCGCAGATGATGGCTTGTTTGATGTCTTGCTGCCCCTGCTATCATGTTACACGTAACATAGAATATGATTTTTTCGGCAATGGAAGAATTCTATAAATGAATTTGTGTCAGTTGCATTTTCGATAGGCTATATGATAATAACGTTAATGCCCTACCTTATCCTTGGTGTATATGATGATATAATCCCTTCGCTCACTTGGTGGTTTATTCGGTGGTTATCGGTACCTGACCAGCGATCATCTCACCATATACAGCTCGGGGTGGGGGCATTAACCCATTTATTGGAAAATATATGTATATTTGATAGAAATAGTCATATATTTCCCACACACCAATCAAAATGTGTTTGTATATTTCTGATACTATAAAAATGAATCTTAACCGGTAACTGCATGTGTCTTACGCATGCAACAGAGGGGCGGCGTGGGACTTGCGCTGTATATAATTAGTGAAGCCAATGAAATAAGCTAAAACAGCTCACCGGAACGTTCTTTTCCTCCTGTATTTTGTATCTGAGCAGGGTGGCAGATTGGCCGGTCACATCCACAACCAGAAGGGAACCGTTTACTAACCAGAACACCAACGTGGGAACAAAAAATGTACCTGCAGCAGAAGCAACAACCTGTAAATCATAACCTAACAATTAACCCAACCATGAACAGTAACCTGTTAACCTTAAACCTTATAACCTGAAAGCCAAAACACACTTTTTTTTAGTCTTTTTGTGCTAGGCCTGACTCTATACTATGCACTCTGGCTATGCATGGATCATTCACCTGAGATGTGTAACTGGCTACTTCCACTTACCAAGAGTTCCCAGCAAATGTTCATCTTCGCCAAACAAGTCATACACCAGACCCCACTGGTGCTGCCAGAAACTGTCAGATGCCTTCCACAGGCCCTGCACATGCCTGTAAAACAAAGACATGTTACTTAACATGTACATGTACAGGCAGCTACTGCTGGTGGCCGGCTCAGTTGTATAGTCGCCATGGCAACGGCTACCTGAAGTTGTCTTTCAGTCGGGTCGTGCCCGGTAACCATGACAACCATGGCCAGTAGAACTGACAACAGGCTGGGGGATATAGAGATGTATCTTTATTTGTTTCACCTCCGTTTCAGACTTTCTATCGCTTTAACAGATGATATATGATAATGTAAACCAACGATGCCATCACCACTAGCTTATTTAATAGCATATGTCCTATTTAAAACGACGGCGAGTCCTTTGAGAGACATAACGCAAACCGTCGTTATTTCACTTTGATATACCGTCATTTACAGAACATCAGCCTCAGGCAGGACGCCACACGCTTTTGATCAGGTCACAGGTCAGGATTTACTTATATAGTGGTGGTGGGGGGGGGCTCTAGAGCCGGGGGATCCATAGCCCGTGACACATCTTTCAGAAGACTGTGGACATATCCGAGTGCATACAATAAAATTGCAAATGTTCCACTATATGAACTCTGAATTCGTTCAAAGAATGCGCTTGCGTACATCTGGAGTATAATTGCTTCGACATTATATAAATATAGAATACAACACGGGGTATTCCTTATCGCCCGAGGTACCACCCCGACCTCGCGTCGCATCGCCCGAAGGTCGGAGGGAGATCCGATCCGCGGGAGAGCTGTATGTTATTTATGTCATACCCACCCAAGAAAACACGCCTTTCAATGCGAAATGAGCGAAAATTTGGTGTCCCTAAATCCCCAAAATGCAACAACATCAATTCCAACGTCCGCACTTTGTATTCCGAACCGCTAAATTTTTGAAAGCGTTGGCCGTTGCAGGCGATTGGGCGTAACTCGTTCGAATCGTTCTATGGAGTGATTTGGCCCGGGGCCGTTCCTATCCTTGAAGTACGGCCCGGTCCGGAACACCCGTATCGAACGTAGTCGCGGCCCGCGCCCAGGTATGACATATTACCTCGTATTGTAGTGTAAGCAAGGAATATTAAAATAACCAAGAATGTTGACAAAGAATATGAAAGCACAAACATAGGGACTAGAAACTGGAGACAAAGATGTAACCTGGATTAAGGCTTTAGAAAATGATTAAATAGCAACACAGTATATATTTGTCCACAAAGGAGTTTTTGTACCATACTGCATTATTCGTCAGGGTGTACGTGAATAAGAAACACATAACTTTACTATGGCTGTTTAATGATATCTATGAAACAGGCCGCTAGACGTGTAAAGAAAAGTATTATTCTGTTGAATTCCTTGTCTGGAAGGTGCAAATAGGGTCATACGTTAGATAGTCCGTGTAGTATTAGTTACTGTTATTGTCCTTATCAATCATTGACTAGCTAGCCGCAACGTCTTGCCATCCGGTGTAAAGTATGGGCAATTTTTAAAAGTTTTAAATTAAACTTTGTAACAGAGCACTTTATATAATGTTCATGCTTTAATTCAGAAACAATCAAATATACAAAATACAAAGGAATGATTAAACTGATACACACGACTTACAAATGTCAANGAAAGCAAATTGCACAGTGTGTCCCTTGTCCAACTACTTTAAGTGTGAAGGTGGGAAATGTGTCCTTCCACAATGGCAATGTGACGGTGATGAAGATTGCGACGATGGTTCAGATGAGGACGACTGCATGAACAAAGACTGTTACAACCCTGTGGACTTGAAGTGTGGAAGTGGAGAATGCATCCCCTCCACAGCGGCAATGCAACGGTGTGGACAATTGCTTGGACGGCTCAGATGAGGAGATTGCATAAACAAAGCGTGCTACTTTTCCGACAACTACAAGTGTGACAGTGGACAATGCATCCCCTCAATCTGGCAATGTGATGGTGAGGAACACTGTGAAGACGGTTCAGATGAGGACAACTGCTGGAGCGAAGTGTGTGATCTTCCCGCCTTCAGGTGTCAAGGTAGTGGAGCATGTATCCCTTCAGTTGGGCTATGTGACGGCATTGATAATTGTCCAGACGGTGAAGATGAGCAAGATTGTCTGAGAGAGTGTCCAACCGATTATCCAAGTAATGTCCGGCCAGAATGGCATTGTGACGGTGTGACTGATTGCCACGATGGTTCAGATGAGGAAAGCTGCACAGCCGATGATTGTCCCTTGCCCAAGTTTTTCTGTGAACGCCGCGGTTACTGCATCGATGGTACAATGCGCTGCGATGGCGTCGGTGACTGTTACGACGAGTCGGATGAGAGTGGCTGCGGTAAGCTCACTTTCTAGTTAGTTAATTGGCTGTTAGAGAGCCCTTGGAACAAAGAACCAACAAGTAGCATAGGTTTGGGCCTCCTAGCAGACTTTATGGAACTGCAGGGCCATTTTGCTTAAAATGTCGCAAAATGTATAAAAGATGATAACTCATGAAGCGTTGGTAGTCATGGCTTTTGGTAGGAAGGTAGGCAGCTGAGGGGAAAAGTATAAAATTAGATGGTCATTATAAGTATCTAATTTGCATGATTATTGCACAAAGCTCGAGCGCTCATGAATCAAATGTATTCCACTATAGGTCATTGAATCTTGGAACATGCGTAGCGAAGTAAGTGAGGAATATCAATTCTGCAAAATGCTCCCTAATTTGCATAATACCTGGGAAAATGTCAAAATACCATAGTACTAAATAGCGATGATTTTATATTTGTGACAATTACGTAAAAGTCAACATCATCAGTCATAAATCATGTAAATCAGGATCTTATTTGCATTATTTGTTGAGATTTTGTATTTGTTTAAGGTTCTCATAACAGGTGACTACTACGGTAACTTAGTATACGCTTTTGAACTTGAATGTCACCTCGGATACTGACAGGCTGTAAGATCTGAACCAGTCACACCGGCCGGAAGGACCCCGTCATACCTATATGAGTTTCTTGTAGTGTTTAACTTGAAAATGGTTAGTGTAGTCGAATGTGGTCATTGTTGTATGTTTACGCCCATGAAACCTGCGTACTACCGTCAAAATATGTGTTGTACAGTGTGCACCAGTATGGAGTTCCGATACAAGATACAAGTCTTTATTGGAAATCGCAGTGTTGCCACTGAATTAAAACCAATTTACAATTCAAGATAAGGAATCCATTAAAAGCTGATTACAAATATGGACAAATTATACACACACATTACAAAAAGAGGCAAGTTACTGTCCGTGCTGGTTTACAAGTCTAGTCATGTACGGCACACGAGAGTTCAAGTACCGCTTCGTTCTGGCTTTCGGACAGTTCAATTTGTGGTTGTTGCGTGTCACTGTGATCTGAGCCCTAGGTGGTGGAAGCCAGTCCCTGCAAGGACCTAGCAAACTTCAGAGTCAGCTGTTCACGCCTAGAGGCAAGTGTTGTCAGTCCGAGGTGCTGTAGAGCATGTGAATACCCGCAGTAGTCTTTGCCGCATGATTGTACGGCACGCTCTTTTCTGTAACCGCTCAAGTTGATCAGACTGGCGTTTAGTTTGGCCTGAGTGCCAGACAGGAACTGCATATTCCAGTATTGGTCTAACATACCCGATGTATATCACCACCAGACAGTAGAAATGTGAAAACAGTAGAAAATGTGTAGCACCATCTACAGTGTGCAATGGTATCATCGACTGTGATGATGCGTCGGACGAGCTGCTGTGTCGTAAGTTTTAAGCGAATTACGAGGAGTTATAGATTATCCTATGAGGTACATGATCATGACCTGCAGCTGAGACTGCGTTGAAAAGGTCAAACAAGAATTTGGAGACCTCATACGTGCATGACATATTGATAGCCTTTGCAACATTTAATTTGTGTCATTGACATGGAAATGTGTGATGTGAAATGTGTAATGATGTAGCAATCTATTTCATTTGTGGGATATCGGGATTTTCTTCTTACACAATCCGTACTGTATCTCACCTGCTTTCGTTTCGAGGTCTATCAGATGCATTCTTCAGAGCTTCTGACTGGAGTTCTGCTTGTCGCCGCAAATTTGTAGCCGATATAAGTGGTGATTTTGCACAATGCCAAACGGGCCTAGGGTTGACTTCCCTTATATCCAGACCGCTTCTTTTATCCAATGGATCCATCTGTTTTCCGTTATCACATGCTTGTATACCAGCAAAATAAAAGTCAAACTATATACAACGGCACACTTGTTGAGGTACAATTTTGAACGACTTTAGGGATGGCTAAAATATCATGTTTGCATGCATGTCATATCGCTTTCAAATGGGGAGCTGGTATTACTTACGGTTATCATGATCACCAATATCGGTCCCAAAAACAAGCATTTGTGCATAACTCGCTCGTTTACGAACAGGTGCGCAGAAATGCACATGCGTGACAATGCGAGGCGAGGGGACGGCCATCAAAATGTTGCTACATTTTGTTCTGTTATATCATTAACCAAAGAATTTAGTCGACTCAACGTTATCAGTGAACAGTTCTATTGACTTTTATGTATTTGAAAGGGATCCAAAACTTCATGTAATCGCAAACCAACTGTAATAAAGGTAACATTCAGATACATTGTTAAACATACAAATGATCATGGGTTGCCACTATAAGTCTGGTAGTTACGACGAAATAGCGGGTCATTCTACATACCTCAACCTAGAGTCACGTCAGCTGGTTTCAATATGCATTATCATATAGCTAGAAGGCGTCGACCAATCAGAAGGCTCCATTTGGCATTGGTTATCAGGCCGTAATTTATTCTTCTAATAACCGACCACCTTTTTGGACCGCACTATTATACAGAGGACAGGGCAATCTATAAGGAAACGTATTGTAGTTAATTTATTTCAAAGTACAACACTATTAAAATATATAAATGAAATTTAAACAGAAAATACTAAACATAATTTTTGACACCCCCACTTAAAGTGCCACCAATGCCACCGCAGGTGATTGCTTATATGAACTGTTTTTCTGTCCATGCCATCATGTTACACGTAACATAGAATGTTATAGTTTTTCAGCAATGGAAGAATTCTATTAAGGAATTTGTGTCAGTTGCATTTTCGATAGGCTATATGATAATAACGTTAATGCCCCACCTTATCCTCGGTGTATATGGTGATATAATCCCGCTCCCCTCACTTGGTGATTTATTCGGTGGTTATCGTTACCTGACCACCGATTATTTCACCATATACATCTCGGGGTAGGAACATTAACCCTTTATTGGAAAATGTATGTATTTGACAGAAATAGTCATATATTTCCCACACACCAATCAAAATGTGTTTGTATATTTCTGATGAATAGTAAAATTCATTTTTACAGTATAATACTGTAAAAATGAATTTTAACCGGGTTCATTGGGACTTCATACATGTAACTGCATGTGTCTTACGCGTGCAACAAAGGGGCGGCATGGGACATGCACTGTATAGTACGGGACTACATAGCATATAAACTACACGTGCCTTATGTAGGCGAGTGCGACGTCGACCTGGATTTGTTTTCAAGCTTAAGAATACGTCAGATCTGAAAAAGTTAACTATCTTTATCGAAGTCTATTTGCATTTAGATCAACTCGTTGGGTCAACAGCACAAATTTTGAATACATATCCTGATAAGTTGGGGTGACTCACTTTATTAACAGCGAGAGAATGTGGGGATTCTAATTAAAAAGTTTCCTAACATTCCTCTGGGTTAGTACCCATATGTTCCCTGTAATTCTATACTTTTTATAAGCCTTTGCATAAAGCAGGGTATTCACAAAGCCCAGTACTTACCTGATTATTTTGGCACTAGACTGAGTAGACGTCTCTGTGCCAGGGTACGACTAGTACACCCAAAAATTCTCAGCTACATTTCCGACCGTTAAGTCGACCATGGCTCCCGGCTTGATCCTACTCATGTCCCTGATGTACATCGGCCATGCCTCCCTTCATATTGCCGACGGAGACGAAGAGTGCCCCGCCTTGGCATGCAAAACGACTAACGACTGCATCGATTGGGCAGAAAGGTGTGATGGATTCATAGATTGCTTTGACGGCTCGGATGAAGAGTGCACGGCTCCAGATTGTTTGTCGCCCGACGTTTTCGGCTGTGGCATTGCCCGCCGCTGCCTCTCTCTCGCTGTGGTATGTGACGGTAATAATGATTGTCCAGACGGTTCAGATGAAGAAAATTGTACAGCGTGTCCCTTGCCCAACTACTTCATGTGTGATAGTGGTGAATGTGTACACCCAGGATTGCACTGTAATGGTGGTGATAATTGTAAAGATGGTTCAGATGAAGAAGATTGCATCAACAAAGAGTGTTACAATCCCGCTGATTTCAAGTGTGAAAGTGGTAAATGTGTCCCCCCATACTGGCAGTGTAACGGTGCTGATGAGTGTGGAGACGGTTCAGATGAGGAAGATTGTATAAACAAAGAGTGTTACTACCGCGACGATTTCAAGTGTGATAGTGGCGAATGTGTAGACCTACACTGGCAATGTGACGGTAGGGATGACTGTACAGATGGTTCAGATGAGGAAAATTGTACAGCGTGTCCCTGGCCCAACTACTTCAAGTGTGATATAGGTGAGGAATGTGTCGCTATAGACTTACAATGCGACGGTTATGATGATTGCCCAGATGGTTCAGATGAAGAATATTCATATTGCACCGTGTGTCCCTTGTCCAACTATTTCAAGTGTGAAAGTGGAGAATGTGTCCCCCCATACTGGCAATGTGACGGTGATGAAGATTGCGACGATGGTTCAGATGAGGACGACTGCATGAACAAAGACTGTTACAACCCTGGGGACTTGAAGTGTGGAAGCGGGGAATGCATCCCTCCACAGCGACAATGCAACGGTGTGGTCAATTGTGACGACGGCTCAGATGAGGAAGATTGCATAAACAAAGCGTGCTATTTTTTCGATTACGTCAAGTGTGACAGTGGACAATGTATAGATCCAACCTGGCGATGTGATAGTAAGGAAGACTGTGAAGACGGTTCAGATGAAGACAATTGCTGGAGCGAAGTGTGTGATCGTCCCGCCTTCAGGTGTCAAGGTAGTGGAGCATGTATCCCTGAAGATTGGCTGTGTGACGACTTAAACAATTGTCCAGACGGTGAAGATGAGCAAGATTGTCTGAGAGAGTGTACCACAACCGACTATTCAAGTAATATCCGGCCAGAATGGCATTGTGACGGTGTGACTGATTGCCACGATGGTTCCGATGAGGAAAGCTGCACAGCCGATGATTGTCTCTTGCCCAAGTTTTTCTGTGGACGCCGCGGTTACTGCATCGATGGTACAATGCGCTGCGATGGCGTCGGTGACTGTTACGACGAGTCGGATGAGAGTGGCTGCGGTAAGCTCACTTTCTAGTTTATTGGCTGTCAGAGAGCCCTTGGAACAGAGAATCAACAAGTGGCCTAGGTTTGGGCCTCCTAGCAGGACCATTTTTCGTAAAATTTCGTAACATTTATAAAAGATGATAACTCATGAAGCGTTGGTAGATTGTCATGGGTTTTGGTAGGTAGGTAGGTAGCTGAGGAGAAAATCATAAATTGGATGGTCATTATGCATACAAGTACATGTATCTAATTTGCATGATTATTGCACAAAGCTCGAGCGCTCATGAATCAAATGTATTCCACTATAGGTCATTGAATCTTGGAACATACGTAGCGAAGTAAGCGAGGAACATCAATTCTGCAAAATGCTCCCTAATTTGCATAATACCTGGGAAAATGTATTAATAATAGTGTTGAATAGCGATGATTTACATTTGTGACAATTAGGTAAAAGTCAACATCATCAGTCATAAATCATGCAAATCAGGATCTTGTTTGCATTATTTGTTGAGATTTTGTAATTTTTTTAAGGTTAGCATAACAGGTGACTGCTACGATAACTTAGCATACGCTTTTGAAAATGTCAACACGGATGACAGGCTGTAAGATCTGAAACAGTCACACCGACCGAAAGGACCCTCATCATATAAGTTTCTTGTGGTGTTTTCAATACTTAAAAATGGTTAGTGTAGTCAAGTGTGCTCATTGTGGCATGTTTACGCCCATGTAACCTGCGCACTACCGTCAAACGATATGTTGTACAGTGTGTACCAGTATGGAGTTCCGATGTGAAGACAGCGGCGAATGTGTAGCACCATCTGCAGTGTGCAATGGTATCATCGACTGTGATGATGCATCGGACGAGCTGCTGTGTCGTAAGTTTTAAGCAAATTATAAATTAGCCCATGATGTACACAATCATGACCTGCAGCTGAGACTGCCCTGAAAAGGTCAAATAAGAATTCGGAGATCTCATACCTACATGACATAGCCTTTGCAACATTTAACTAGTGTCACAATGGAAATGTGTAATGATGTAGCAATCTATTTCATTTGTGGGATATGGGGGTTTTCTTCTTACACAACCCGTGGTGTATCTCACCTGCTTTCGTTTCGAAGTCTATCAGATACATTCTTCAGAGCTTCTGACTGGAATTCTGCTCCCCAAAATAACCAACTTTAATTTTCACAATTTGTAATGCTTATGCCGGAGGGTAGCCTGGGTACCATCTTGGTTAGTTACGTCCGGACGTAAACAAACCAGGATACGGTACCCAGGCTAGTCTGGGGGTACTACATAGGAAAAACCGTATTCATCAAGAAAATGCATATATGTCACGATTGATTCATCGATTGTAATTGTGGAGCATTGGACAGAAACGTTCCATACCAGTGTACATTTCTTCAGAGTCCTGTGCAGAGAAGGGACTGTGGCAATGTAACGGCGGTGAATGCGCCCAGAACGCCTCGGTGTGTGACGGGGACAAGGACTGTACTTCTGGGGAAGACGAGGAGAACTGCCACAGTACGTCTATCCATAAGACTAGTCATACACTGACACACACAGAAAGACACGCACACACACACACACACACACACACACACACACACACACATGCAAACACACACACACATACACATAAACACACACACAAACACACATGCACATACGTACACAGAGGCACAGCACACATCCATCTATTTCTCTATTTATGCCTCGCTAATAAAATAAGTCTTGAGAACTCCAACATACATCCCGTCACTTACAGCTCCCTGCAATGGTCTCCAGTTGGAGTGTGACGGGGGATGTCTGCCGAAATACCGCGTCTGTGACGGGGTGGAGGACTGTTCCAACGGAGAGGACGAGATGAACTGTACAGCCGGAGGTGGGGTCACTTCATGTGTCTTTGTCCTTGGTCCAAACCATAATAGGAAAGATCAATGTTGTTCTCAAAAGGCCATTTTAGAAGTATATTCATAATTAGGTAAACTTTTCATAAAAACCCCACCCAGGTTGCGGTGCTGGACAGTTCTCCTGTACAGACGGGACGTGCCTGTTGGAGTCACAGCTGTGTGACAACCTGACGGAGTGTAGTGGAGGGGAGGACGAAGAAGACTGTGGAGGTAGGTACTAACTACTAACTTCGTATTTTACTGAGTAAGCTTGCTAGTTTTACAGTCAGTGTACACTACGCCTTACTGATGACATTTTCCTGACAGAAGCCAAACCTCCTGGATTCCCGCTTGGTTTGGCCAGCCGGTACATTCCCGATGTCTTCCTCACCGCCAGCTCCAACTACAAACCAGACTTCGCCCCGATCCAGGCTCGCCACACGCCTTTAACTATGCCAGGATACTGCTGGGTACCAAATTCTGTGGTGGGCCAATGGCTTCAGGTACCTGCTCTTCATTGAATCTAGATCGTAGATATGAAGAACTTCTAGTATGTTTCAGTAGCAGGCTGGAGAGTCTATATATGTTTGACTGCAGGTTTACTTGGGCAAGACGACTGACGTCACAGGGGTGGTGATCAGTGGAGGTGGGTCGAACTGGGACCTGGGCAGTTGGGTGACGTCATTCACTCTAGCCTTCAGCATGGACGGCGCTTCGTGGGGACCGTACACAGACAGCAGTGACAACGTTCAGGTGCGGAGACTTTGTGACTTGCAAAGGCTGTTCACTTTTGGCGCATGGCCATCTTTAATAGGATACGTACTTGGTCATCTTGGGATTCTTAAAATTACTCAATTATACATGTATCTTCAAAGGTTGTATGTCCATTTTCATGTTCATTTTTCTTATTTTCTTACACAGGATTTTCAAGGAAACCGAGACCGGTACAACAGAGTTAGTCGCCCTCTCCCAGTTCCTGTGACGTCACGCTACATCCGTCTGTACCCGACAGGCTACTATGGCTGGGTTGCCATGGGGATTGAGGTGTACGTCACAAACGGTTAGTCTGCTGTAGTTTTGTAAGACGCTTCTCTGATGCCATCTACCCATATCTGGACTACACGGCTTCCCTCTTCTCCCGGTACCGCAGATCGTGTTTGTAGGATGTTTTGTGCCATCATGAAGCTTTTCACAGTGTCCGAAGTACAGTAGCTTACTCCTTCTGATCATGGGTAGGAGTCATCTTTCCATCCATGACTCTTTTAGAACAGAGATGTTTGTACGATGTTCTGCCCACTCGGCTTACTCTCAGTAACGTCCTGTCCTATAGGACCCTATACTGCACAGCCACTTCATCTCGAATTCCTCGATCTTCAGTATGAAGTGTATATGCTTCGCAGGCCACCACACCGCATGTCACCACAGGCCACACCAGTACCCTAATCATGGTGGGCAACATTAGAGCTCTGTCCTTCCAGATGACATCCAGGGAACTAAGGGCTTCTAGCTTCATATGGAGCTCCAAGCATAACCACAGTGGTCATGGACGGTACATTTTAGGTGCGCTAATCCACTAACAGTCTAATGATCTCTCCAGACGAAAACACGTGGCTGAAGCAGGACCAGTACGTCCCATTGGGAGTTGGACTTGATCCCGACGATCCTGGTACGGTTCCGAAGGTTCCCGACCTCGACGTGAGCGCGTCATCGCGAAGGGACGACTTCTTCCCGTGGCAGGCCCGTCTGAACAGCGGGGAGGGGCAGCAGCAGGGGGCGTGCTGGTCTCCGGCTCTGCGCACCGACACGGACCAGTGGCTGCAGGTAAGTATTGCCTGGTCACCAGAACTAGTGTCCTCTAACAGATCAAGCGGGAATTCAAAAGTACTCTTAGGGTAAATGGTTGTGAGATCCAAAGGTAGATCGAGACCACCAGAAGACTGATACTTCACCGATGTAAAGGGTCTACGACTGGGAGCTAATTTTCTTTTAGGGACGTGCCTAGCAACGAATTGCCTGCTTTGCATTGCCAGTCAGCATTTAAAAAAATCTTTTTGAAAGTTGACTCTATTCAATAACGAACAATTACCACATTTCCTCAATTGAATAAAAACTATAGTGATGTTTCTCTGTCAACTCTAGATTAAGCATGACAGAGTGTACGAAGTTGCCGG